AGGGCTAGAAGCCATCAAAGCTAGGCTGAAGGCCAGATGAAGCAGGAAAGGCCATTCTATAACTTTCTCCTGATGGTGGGATGTGGGTGAAATACCTCTTTTGCTTTAGGTCTTCATCTGCTCATTTTGTTTCAGGGCTACCCTATTGGCCGGTTGCACTCAGTAAGTGCGTGCAAGGTCACATCACTCTCTCTAGAAGCAAATTTGGCTAAACGGAGTCTATTTTCTATTTTGTGCACATTGTGAAAGGCAACACTTACTGGAGAAGACAAGGATACTAGGAGACGCTGAAGGCAACAAGAAATGCGCAAGATGAGCCTTGTGTTTGCAAGACCGGAGTGAGGGCTGACATAACGTTGGATGGGACTTGAAAACACAGAACAGCAAAAGTTTACCTGAAACAGCGACGTTTCGCCGAAGAAACTAAACTGGATTTCTGTGTGGTCTTCTGGGTCATAAGACTGGACCTCCAAGTAATCCTTCAGTAGTTGAGGCAAAAATATTGACGCTACGGCAGTTGTGAAGGGAGCTTGACGGATATTTAGCTGGAAGAGAAGCCAACATCATCTCCCCATAGAAACCCAAATCCCACATCACTTCTTCACTCTATTTTGTCTTTTGAAGACGGCTGGTACGTAGGAAACAATGAAGCCCATGGAGGTACCGATCTATTTTTACTTCGACCTTTGCTGATCAGAAAACTCTGATTCAGGAATTCACACATGAATTTAAAATGCTTATGATCTGGTTCTATGGGTACCAGCTGGTGATAGACTCAGGGCCGGTCTAGAGGGTGCTCCTTACCTCTGGGTATCTGTTTGAGCTGTACGATGTAACCCCAAAAGCGAGCCCCTGGAAATCCACAGGGTCTGGACACACAAGAGCCATGGCCAGTCTTGGCAAGACAATGGATTCATTTCTTCCATCAAAGTCCAGCTTGAAACTTATTTTTTCCATTAGCTGCAAGACGCTAGACAACCCAGAAAGCAAACAGATGATAACTTCATTTCAGGACCCTCGTCACAACCAGCCTGTGGGCTCCGATTTATTTTATGATATCTGCCACCACTTCCTCTCAATCTCTCTCTCTTGATTTATCTATTCACTTCCAGAGGTTAGAAATCCACTTTTTCAAAAGTAAAGCATTTCCATTACTCCCAACGGCATATAAAAGCTAATGCCTCCCCATTACTTCTGGCAGATTTTTTAAAAATGCACTCATTGCGTAATCCATCACACACTCATCATGTGGTGTATATGGACAGATGTGCCAGCTTTAACCCAGAACTTCCTGCCAACCTAGCTGTTTGAAAGCATGTAAAAATGCGAGTAGATAAATAGGTACCACCACGGTGGGAAGGTAACAGCGTTCCGTGTCTAGTCGCGGTGGCCACATGACCACGGAAACGCTTTACGGACAAACGCTGGCTCTATGGCTTGGAAACGAGGATGAGCTCTGTGCCCTAGAGTTGGACACAACTAGACTCAACGTCAAGGGGAACCTTTAATTCAGAACTGGGAATCTGGGCTGCTTACCCAGCCTATAATGAAATATCTCAGAAAGGTGCTACATAATGATTGGGCTATGAGTTACCCCTGTCAGTTGGCGATAAGAACTCATGTTCTAGAAACTTCTCTCCAGAGGTAACAGAGCATCTAGTGATGTTGGAAGGAAATTATCTAAGGCAATGGTTCCCATGCGGCATTCCCAGTCTTGGGTAACCTTGGTTAACCCAGCTGTTCTTGGACTACAACTCCCAGAAACCTTGGCAGCACAGCTGATGGTGAAGGCTTCTGGGAATGCTAGTTCAAGAACATCCGGGTGACCCAAGGACAGGCACCACTACTCTAAAGCCACATTTACCTTGACCTAACTTTGCGGCAGCAAAGCGCTTGTCGTCTTGGTCTGGAGAACAGCTGGATCTGGTGTGACACAGCTCCTCATTGATTCTACCATTCTTCTCCACTCCTTTTTTTTGGCTCCTCTTGAAATCAGCCAAGCAGAAGGAGGGTCTGCTAGTAGAACAAGTCTCTCCCCATTCCAAGCCGCCTCCAGCACCATTCTGCAACTGGCGCGTCTCCGATTTAGCAGACTGCACCATTACTTAGCAAAAGAGCCTTTGCAAACAAGGAATGGCCCCATCAACCCATGCGACGTCAGCTTCGTGGCCACTGGGGTCTTACCTCCCGAGTCAATTTTTTCATACCATCTGCTACACGCAGAAAAATCACACCAAGAGAAGTGCTAAAGTGTCAGCAGACGGAGGCGGAGAGCATTTGCTTTCATTTAGAAGCTGCCTCCCGATTTTCTTTTAAATTTTTTCCCCTTTAGCCTTTAGTAAAGGCGAACCACTCTCTGCTGTTCTAAAAGAAAATCCGTTTTGCTTCATCCTCGTGCACGCAGGGGCAAGAAGGAGAACTTCTCCTTTCAAGGATCTGGGAGTGAAGGTGGAGGAATCTCACCCCCATCCAAAAGAGAACTCGAAAATATTACTCTGCCATTACATTTCTGCCCCCAGATTTAGCAGGAAATAAAAAATGTAGCATTTCCAAGCTCTGGTCTGGAGGAGAAATACAAAAAAAAAATCTCTTAGTCTTGATCATCTCAAGTTTCTCAAACCACCATGTGCATTTTCCGTCCATCCTGATTTTGTAAGCCTCTCGGGGTGTTGTGAGATGCTTGCCAAGGCGCACGCCCCATAGCACCAGAAAGAATCATTTTAACAGGAGCAATGTCCCTTAAAATGACTGCTGTGTCGGCCAGAGAAGCACTCTAGCTTAGCCTCCCAAAGTAGAAGCCCTACAGATGGACCTCAAAACTGGTCTAACTTGGCCATTGAGTGGGTTCAGGCTGCCGTACATTTCCCCATGTGCTGTGGATTCACCAGAAGACAGATCTCATTGGACCAAACTGTTGTGATCACATGCTCAGGTATGGCAGTGTTCGAAACCAAAGTGTGTTCCTTCCCACCACAAGCCTCCGCAGGAGGAGAACGCTGCCTTCATGAAGATGGGCGAGCCCCAATGAAATTTCTTTCTGCCCCTAGGATGCAAGCCCTGGGATTTTGCCACCCTCGGTGGTTTGCACTTCCTTCGACACCCCCCACACACATCCATCTGGGATGGAGGAAGGATTAATTTAACAGAGAACTCACTGTATGGAAACTCCTACTCCAAAAAAGCTTGAGAAGTTTTTTTTGTAGGAGGAAAGCGTTCCCGAAATGATCACGACACAGCTTAATGCTTTTTATCTTTTGGATTTAGGTACTCTTTTAAGGCTTTCCTTTCCTTGTCTTTTTCATTCTCATATTTTGAAATGTATATATAGAAGATTGCTCTGGTTTGTGAAAGCTGGAATCTGTTTTATATTCATATGAAATTCCTTGTTTAGGCAGACTTTTAACTCTATGATTCTAGGAAACTGTTTATCCCCTTTATCCACCGTGCTCTTCTTACGTCACTTTCAGCAAAGAATCCTCTCGCCCTCTTACCTGTTGAGCTTTTTCTGTGCCCCTGATACTTTGGCTCCCTTCAGCAGAAAAGCATCTATAATTTGCAGGGCTTTCCCAGCCAGAGCCAGGCTGATCTCTTCGCAGTTGGCAATATCAGTCAGCTTGCTCACAAGAACCTGGATTTCTTCTTGGTCCAACTCCGAAGAATTCAACAACGTCAAAATGTGATCTGCGACGTATTCAGCGTTTTCTGCAACAGATTGGGAGGCAAGGGGGAAGCAGGGAATACCACGATCAACACCCAAAGGATTAACCCTTTAAGGGCTTCTTCCCTCTGGGGAAGAGGCAGACCCACCCACCCCTGAAAGTGCATGCCAACCGAAGATGCAAAACTAAGACCCTTAGCCACAAGCTGCCTTCTTCACAGGAACTGTCCAGGGTCCTGAATGCCCGTGTTTTCCAGCAGAACACAAGAGGTCAACATAAGAAAGTGGAAGTTTCAAGGAAGAGGGAGATCAACTTGTAGAGACAGCTTTTAACCAAAGAGGGTCACCTTTCCTCCAATAAAAATTGGGGCTCCCTTTCTGTATTTGCACTACAGCATGTCACAAACCCCATTCCAAAAAAAACCAAACACGTTTGTACCAATAAAGCTAGGGCTGGATTGGTTTTGTCCCCAAAGCATGACAACATGAAAGGTAACGTCAATAAAAAAGCTGGCCACCAAAGAATTGATGCTTTTGAATTGTGGTGCTGGAGGAGGCTCTTGAGAGTCCCCTGGACTGCAAGGAGAACAAACCTATCCATTCTGAAGGAAATCAACCCTGAGTGCTCACTGGAAGGACAGATCCTGAAGCTGAGGCTCCAACACTTTGACTATCTCATGAGAAGAGAAGACTCCCTTGAAAAGCCCCTGATGTTGGGGAAGTGTGATGGCAAGAGGAGAAGGGGACGAGAGCGGATGAGATAGTTGGACATCGAAGCTACCAACATGAATTAGACCCAACTCTGGTAGGCAGTGGAAGACAGGAGGGCCTGGCATGCTCTAGTCCATGGGATCACGAAGAGTCAGACATGACTGAATGACTAAACAACAACAACAACAACAATATCAAGAGTGTTAGCCACCCGAGACCCAGATTCAAATCTTGGCTTGGCTATGACAGATGGCAAAATTAAGCCATTCCCCAAACATCTCCTGCAATAATCCTGTTTGGGTTATTCACCATAAGTCAGAAGCAACTTGACGGCGCATCGCAACCACATGGAAGCAAAGTAAGCCAAGAAATGTATTCGCGAAGGGTAAGCCAAGAAACCTTACCCTCTGTGATAGTCACATTTTGGAATGACACAATATTATCCGGTAAGTCTTGCAGCAGCTGGCAAGAGTTCAGGTCCGGTCTTCTCCAGTAAGCTTTCTGAGTCTTGATACTGATCAAGCTTGAAAGTAAGTGAAACACGGTGGGGATGAGTGTTAAAAGCAGGCATTGCCTTATTATTCTTATGAAATCAACACTTTGACAAGGGTGATACCTGTGTTTGTAACACACTGTTGCCAAATGTTGTAAAGCAGGCCCCTGTGTGCTTAATAGCGAGTGTACATGAGAGGTTTTTTAAAAAAATCCTTTTTGGATTCATACATTTATTTATTTTTAGAAAGCTTCCTCCCACCCCACAGATCCTTGCCATGCCAGTGGAGCGGAGGGACAGAAGCAAGAGAAGGACCACAACTCACCAGGCCCTGCTAGCAGACTGTGTTGGGTTTCTCTTGCAGGTTAGACGAGTTGTGGTAACAGGTCCAATTTCTGGCCATGTGTAGGTCCCTTTGTATAGGCTCTCAATCGTAGATTGGGGGCACGTCTCAGGATCTTAGAATGAAATAAGAAGAGAAGAACCCTCTTACTGGATCTGATGGTGCAGGTCTGCATCCTATATTCAGCAGTAACCAGTTCAGAGCTTAGAATATATACTTTTGGAGCCAACACCTCTCAGAATCCCCAGCTGTCGGTGATGGGCATTGTAGTCCATCATGTCTGACAGGTACCACCGCAGGCTGAGGAGCGGGAGGGTGCTCTTAGTCAAGAGATGCTTGGATTCAGACCTTCACCAAGGCCCCACAGCCCTCTGAGTCATCAGAGGCCGATCAGCGTCTCTCAGATTCAGTTACTTCACAGGGTTGTTACGAAGAACAAAGAAAAAGCCAGGACAGGATAAAAAGAGGACATAACAGAAGTCTGAGGGATTTTTTATTTTACCGAAGTGAGACACGTTTTGGCTCTCCACCATCATAGACAGAGGTTCCTCTTCGTAATTCTGAGACAAAATATTGTTTAGTTTTTCCATGATCATATTCTTTGTTTGGTTGGAAGCCGCTTGAACGATGGACTTGGAAGAATAGCTGAAAGCAGAAGAGACAAGATATGGCCATGAAGGGGGCTTTATGTCCATTGGGGCCCAGGGCAGAAACAAGGTGGCAGCTTTGCAATTAGAAGGTTATAAAACATTATCCCTTTTCCCCTTCCGTGTCCATAAATCAACATGCAAAGGAATCTTCTGCTGATGGTCCAAGGACTAGTCACCAGACCATGAAAAGGGAGCTGAAAATCATCAAGCTGTGAACCCTTGTCGTGGGAAGAATCAACATCTGTTAGCTCTTAAGTCATCTCAGCTTCTAATGGCAAAGTCTTGCTTCTGCCCTCAGTCCTGGCACTTGATTCAATACCAGGAGCCAACCCTTGAAAACCCATCATCTACCTGGATGTGCTTCTAACAAGTGCAGCGTCCAGGGCCCTCAACTCTAAATAGCTAGGGAGAATCTTTGCAGATCACACCCTCAGTTCCAAGAGTCTTGTTCCCTGGGGACACAGCACACGAACATCATTCCTCTTCACCACCACCCCTGTAAATTAAGTCCTGAAACCCTAGTGCTCATATTGTCCCAGACAAAGCTACGCATCAGTACTAACAACACAACAACAGCAGCAGCACATTTCTGGGGAAGAAAAGAAAGAAGTTGTAGGGAACTGGCACATCCAATAAAAACTGAAGGATACAAGAAGAAACAATCTCAGGATGTATTGTGCCTGCAGAGTCATCCAGCAGAGTTTTTTCAAGTGGTCATGGGCCTATTACATGCTGGCCCCCAGGAAGATAATACAGATCACACTGTTGCATGCCCTGAAGAATTTGCACAACACTTTGGAAAGAAATTGTAGGGCACTGGCACATCCAATAAAAACTGAAGGATACAAGGAGAAACAATCTCAGGATGTCTAGGATAGGTAACAATACATAGTGTCTTTATTATGGGGTGAAAAGCTTTAAAAACTTTCTTGGTTAACGCATTTCGGCAGGGCCTTCATTACAAACTTTTTCTGAAAGGTATAGTGCATCAGCACTGCCCTAACAGACTTTTAAAAAGCATTGCTTCTTCCCTCCACGGAGGAGGAGAAAAAGTTATTAATTTCCCAATATCATTAAGTGGCTAAGCGTTGCGACATTGGGAAATAGAAACCCAATGGGAAATCGGATCCATTTTGGTTCGATCCTAGCGATCGCATGCACTGGAAATGAACCAAAAGAGAGCAGCCCTGCCTGCACCTAAAACTGAGTAGCCCTGGAAGAGGTCGGTTTGCTCTGGCACTTAACGTTCATCTGGTCACTGGCAAAAGGAGTGAACCAGACCCTCCCCATAGTAGACCAAACAGCAGGAGAAATGCCCATAGAGCCACCCCCAAAATCTCGTAGCCAACACAGGGCCAACATTTTGATGCAGAAGCAGAACTGGAAGAGGAAGAAGCTTTACCTTTCAATACAATACAATTGCTTGCTTAGCCATATGTGGGGCTCCTGTGTTTGTCTTTTCATGCCCCTCTGCAGTCAACACATGGCCCCAAAAATAACCCAAAGAGTTCCTGAGATGCTTCCAATCACTATTTCAGCAAATGCACAGCTTACCTTCGTGAAGCCTGTGCACCTTCGCTCTTTGCTCCACAAGACACCAAGCACCGGAAAGAGAGCAAGAAGCAAAGAGAGTTAACCAAATGTGAAGATCTTCGCAACCACCAAACGAATCTTCACGAAATTTGGGCGATTGGGAAAGTTCGGAAAGACAGGCTTAGAAGAAAAGTGACTGGCTAACAAATTTGTTCCACGGAAGTCTTCGAATGACTTTTCCTCCTTCTGGGCTACCTCCCCTCAATGGGGTTGGCATTTTGCCATTATTTCTCTCAAGCAGGGGGGCTGGGACCCCCCCCAAGTGGGTCACTGACTGTTTTCTGAGGGGTTGTTGGGGGATCCACATATATGTATTGTCGCTCCTGTTAAATAAATTTGTTCCTTAACCTTTTGGAGTGGAATATTGACGTTCACGTACATAAGGGTGCATGAGAAACAGGCCTTTTGGGGGACCAAGAAACCTCTCCTTTCTGAGAAGGGATGACTTGACCCCCATTAAAAAGGCCTTTTTATGCAAATGTGGTGGACTCTCAGGTTACTTGGGGGGGGTCACGACTCAAAAAAAGGTTGCGAACCACGGCTCTAAAGGCACCGCCCAAAGCATTTAAATTTAAATCTCAGGGGGGCTCCATAAACTCAGTCCCCCTGAGATGGATATTGTGTCTTCTCTCAAGAAGAGGAGGAATACTTATAAAGGGTGATCAGGTTTGCATCCTGTCATCTCCAGGTCAGGCTAGGATAGATTCCGGTCTGAAACCCTGAAGGTTTGCTGACTTTCTGAGTTGACAGTATTGGTCCAGATGCTCCCAGGTATGAAAATGAAGGGACATCCTGTTTGATCCGGCTATTTTTTTGCCATGACACCTTTCTGTGTACCTTCACCCAGAAAGGACCACTGTGCATTCTGGATAAATGGTTCTGTCCCTAAAACATGTGTTTCAAGGTTATATCTGCGGGATCAGTATCCGCGGATTCAGTTATCCACAAACTGAAAATATTAAAAATATTAAAAGAAAAATCCTAGAAAAAATATTGTAAAGATGAAGTTACCAGAACTGGCCACTAGAGAGAGACAGAAACCATGCTATGTATAGCATTTGCTAAAGAAATAGATTCCCACGGTGTCATTATCAAAACAGGCCATTAGAGGGAGTCGGAGACCATACTATGTACAGTGGTAGATTCCGGTCTGAAACCCTGAAGATTTGCTGACTCTCTGAGTTGACAGTATTGGTCCAGATGCTCCCAGGTATGAAAATGAAGGGACATCCTGTTTGATCCGGCTATTTTTTTGCCATGACACCTTTCTGTGTACCTTCACCCAGAAAGGACCACTGTGCATTCTGGATAAATGGTTCTGTCCCTAAAAAATGTGTTTCAAGGTTCTGGATCTGTTGGGTTCAGGCATCCCATATGTATCTGCGGGATCAGTGCTTCGTTATGCGATATTCGCTAAGCGAATCGCTTAGCGAATATCGCAAAGCGAAAAATCGCCATAGGGGCCATCGCTGAGCGAATGCTCCAGCGATGGCCCAGAGTGCCTCATTAAGCGATTTCATCGCTCAGTGAGGCGCTCGTTAAGCGAGGCACCACTGTACAGCTTTCGCCATTGAAATAGCATTTGCTATAATCCAGATTTTTCAGTATCCACAGGACAGTTGGAACTGATCCCCAATGGATATGGGGGTCCTACTGTATGTATGACTAGAGGTCATTATTATTGATCCCTCCTCCTAATGTACAAAAATAAGGCAAGCTTTGCTACCAACCACCTCAAACCAGTTGCCATGGTACATTCTCTGGCGCTTCCATGGCAATTCCTTCTGTCTCAAGAGGGAAAAATCAGACCGAAGATAGAGCTTTGGGATTCATTTCTAAAATGTGTGGGGAAAACAATAGGAAATGACGAGGAAGAAAAGATAACAACAGATGATTGCATTTACATCGGAGGAGAAGACTGTGTATAAAGTACATACCTTTACTCTAGAGCACATCGGAGGAGAAGACTGTGTATAAAGTATGTACATACCTTTACTCTAGCGTGTAGCCGTCCCTGAGGGATATCAACCCTGCATTAAAAGCAATGAGGAATATCGTGTTTTGTGGTAATTTGAGGTAAAAACTGTGAAAGTGCCATAAGGCTAAATAACCTCTGATGGGGAGGAAGAGATGTAGCGTAGGCAGGGGTGACATTTAACAAATTCCATACCCCGAAGGCCTGTTTCTGGTATAAACTGAGGGTAGATGACTGTGTTTGAAGATTAGGGATTTTTTGTTCCAACTGTTTTGTTTTATATCAGATGGAATGG